ATCCAGAGGGAGCCATCTTTCTTCACTATTGGAACGATAGGAGTGGCCAATGGACTAATGAGTGGCCAATGGACTAATGATAGGAGTGGCCAATGGGTAACTGGTATTAGGACTCCATTGGTGACCAGGCACTCCAGGTCCGCTTCAACTTTCGGCCTGATGGCATATGGCACAGTTCGGGCTTTCAGATATTTTGGTTGACTGTCAGGTTTAATGTTCAATGTCACAGTGATTCCCTTCATACTTTCCAGATCCTCTCCAAAAACAGCAGCATGTTTCCTTAGTATAGTGGTCAGACCGGTTTCTTCTTTAGTCATTTGGTGCACTTCTGCCCAGTTCAGCTGAATCTTCCCAAGCCAAGACCTACCCATTAAGGCTGGGTAATTACCTCTCACCACAAACAGTGGCAATTTAGCAGCCTGTCCATTGAGCTCCACCTTAACATCAATAGTGCCCAACATGGGCACAGCTTCTCCCGTATACGTCTTCAGAACAGTTTTTGTTGCCTTAAGCGGAAGATGCTGTCGCTTTTCTTTATACACAGTCTCGGAGACCAGCGAGACGGCTGCACTGGTGTCCAGTTCCATGCGTATAGGTTTGCCATCCAACAGCGGGGTTACCCAGTATTCATGTAAGCCCACGGCCAAAGACAAAACCTGCAGTGGCACTTCTTCTTGCGATGAGGTGTCACCTTGGTCATCCTGGGTCTGCTCTAGGGTATGCAGGTTCCCCTTTTTGGTCGGCCAGACCACAGGCCTCTTTTTCCTTTGTTTACAGGCACACTCAATGTGTCCCTTTTTGCCAGTGTTGACACACCAGCCCCTTACACCAGCATTGCGATGCCTGGTGACCCGGCTTACCTCAGCAGTAACATTCCTGACTCCCCACAGTTCTGTGGGTAGGTTCTTGTGACACTTTATGCACCCCAGGGGATGCACCGATGTATTGCGCCTCCTTTGTAGCCAGTTCCATGGAGACTGCAATATCAACAGCCTTCTGTAAGGTAAGCTGAGCCTCTGTCAATAGGCGCTTCCGTATAGCTTCACTGTACAGGCCACACACTAACCTGTCACGCAGGGCATCATTTAACATCTCCTTAAATTCACAGTGTTCTGCTAGCCTTTTTAAAGTTGCTACAAATTGTACACGTGTTTCATCTTCTTTTTGGTCTCTTTTGTGGAACCTGTATCTTTCAGCAATTACCAGTGGGTTTGGGGAAAAATGGGACCCCAGGATTTCCACAATGTCACTGTAAGATTTGGTCTCAGGCTTAACAGGGTGTAGTAAGCTGCGTAGCAGGGAGTAGGTTTTAGCCCCCACAACAGTTAAGAATATTGGCACCTTCTTCTCTGCTGTAATGTTATTTGCAACAACAAAAAGCTCAAAATGCTCAGTATACACATGCCATTGCACTATATTCTCCTCAAAAGGTTCCAGTGGCCCTGTAAGTGTAGCCATGGTTTTAGTTTCAGGTTTCACAGTCAGTGCCAACAAACCAGCACAGTCAGTGCAAACAAGCCAGTTCTCACCCCCTTCCAACAGATAAAAGATTTTGGTAGGGTTTTTTTTTTTCCTACCTTGACTTCTACTTCCTTCTATTGCTGGGGCAGCACAGGGATCCCATCCTCGTCGCCACTTTGTTGTATCCTTGGGGCAGCAGTTTTAGGAAGAAGTCACTTGAGACACAGAGAGCTGTGAGCCATGAAAGCAGCCATTTATTTTCCACACACTTAACTAACCAAACCAGCCAAAACTGGCTGGGCTATTCCCTAATAATCTAACTCATTTGCCTTAGCAACAACAAGTTGCTATTACCATGACAACCAAATACACAATACCTGAGACCCCCTTTGAAGGCTGTGATGGCAGCTAAGAGCTCTTTAAACATTATAATTCATATAGCTCATATATTTTGGGAGCCTTTTAATTTTGATCTGGATATGTGCAACTTCTAAAGTAACACAATTTTATTTCTATATGTATGTATGTGTGTGTGTGTGAAAGAGAGAGAGACTAGACACAGGAAAATGTATACAAAGTTGAAACCTATGTGATTTTTCAGCTCACCAACAAAATCACACCATTTACAGTGAATAAAGGTGTGGAAAGTCAGAAGAGAAGGTCAGAGTCCTATTATTTATTACTACCCAGATTAGGTTAGTAATGTAAAAGGATTGGTCAAGAAATGACTAAGCCAGGAAATTTATGATTCTCATAGCAATCTTCAGTCAGCCACATTGCACATCCTGTATATTTCATGACATACATCCAACAATATAAATATTAATAGCTTAATGTTGACATTTAGGGCCTGATCCAATTTCCATTAAAGTCAACGGAAAGACTCCCATTGTCTTCAATGGAAGATGGATCATGACCTTAAAAAGGAACATTGGAATAGATAATTCAAAGTATGTGCATCATAGCTAAACTGATGTTATTATGAAAATCAGAACTTCTCCACTTCCTGACTTTTGAGCATTTCAGTTTGTAACCTTAACGTTATATTATTTCAAAAATAGGAAGAATTCAGGTCTAGATCAGGCTTAAGGCAGTTAGCAGCTTTGTCAATGGAGCTTGTAAATCTTTGAATTGAAATGCATGGGCTTGCATTGTTCATGAGCTGTGCTGGCTTCACCAGCTTGGTAACCCCATAATTTGCTTTTGTGTTGATTATAAACTCTGTGGAGGAAATTCTTCCTCCTGCTGAGCTTATAAACTCTCCAGGAGCACAAGGTGTTGGCTCAATTAACTCTAATGAGAGTGTAACCCAGAAGCAGCTCCATCAACCAAGGACCTAGCATAGGATTCTTTTTTGGCATTGAACCCTCTTTATAAAAGTAGTACATCAAAATCGTTCTGTACTCGGCTTGGAAATATTAGATTTTTTATCAGTGAATGTGGATAAATGTCGATTTCACCGTACACATGGAAACCAATGAAAAAGCATCTTTCCATTGATGTTAACTAGAGTTGCCAACCCTCCAGGATGGTCCTGCAGTCACCAGGAATTAAAGATTAATCTTTAATTAAAGATTATGTCATGAGATGAAACCTCCAAGAATACGTTCAACCAAAACTGGCAACCCCTATGATAATCCAAATTTACAGACAGGCAAAGGAAGAAAAATGTAACTTTTTGAATCTTAAGGTCTTCTGTCATTAAATCATTATGGACTGACACCCCATAATTTTCCCACCATTGTGAACATTTCAATCAATAAAAATTGTAAAAAAGGTTTAAAACACATAATTTTGTGCAACTATGAAAATGTACATAGATAAAATAGAAAAAAAATACTTAAAAATAAATGTTGAAGAGTGGAATGAAGGTATGATTTTTTTTTTTAACAGTGAGAATAATTAACCATTGGAACAGCTATGGAACTGTCATGGTGGATTCTCCATCATTGGCAATTTTAAAATCAAGTTTGGATGTTTTTCTAAAAGATCTGCTCTAGGAATTATTTTGAGGAAGTTAAGATTAGATGATCGCCATTGTCCCTTCTGGCTTTGGAATCTATGAATGGCTTTCCATTAAATTCAGTAGCCATAAAAGCAATAAAACAAAGACTGCTCCCTCTCAGTAGAACCAGAAGCAGCTGTTTGTGATCAGGCCTGCTTGGAGTCTTGAACATTGTACAAATTAAAGCTGCAGTGACTTGAGTTAATGCAGAGATTTTACAGAGCTAAAAGGTAGTGAATGTGTTTCTCAATTCTAGAATGCCCAGGAAGCACCAATTGGATTGCTTTATCCAGTCTCTCCATCTTTTCTTTTTAAGCAGTGTTGCCATGCTCCCTGGCCTGACTAATCACTGAGTAGAATGCGACATTGTTACTGTCACCGTGCTCTTCAGCTTCTTTAATACGTTTTAAAATCTAATATTTACAGTAGCTGGGGGTCTGTCTAGGACAGGGGTTCTCAAACTTCATTGCACCACGTCCCCCTTTTGACAACAAAAATTATTACACAACCCCAGAATGGGGGACTGAAGCCTGAGCCTGCCCAAGCCCCACTGCCCTGGGTGGGGGGGCCAAAGCCCAAGCCCCACCGCTCTGGGCACGGGGGGTCAAAACTGAAGCTCAAGCTCAAGGGGGCCTGCAAACTGAGTCCTGCCGCCCAAGGCTGAAGCCCTCTGGCTTTGGCTTCAGCTCTGGGTGGTGGAGCTCGGGCTTCAGCCCGGGGCCCCAGCAAGTCTAAACCAGCCCTAATGACCCCATTCAAAGGGGGCAGTGACCCACTTTGTGGTCCTGACCCCCAGTTTAAGAACCGCTGATCTAGGAGGTCTTTCTGCTGGGGTGTGGCAGTCCTACCACCTCAGGCTTTGATCAGTGCTGCGACTGTGACTTGTCCACAATCCTAAAATCAATAGGTGTTTGAGGAAGAGCTGTTGGTTAATCACTGGGCAGCATTCTACCTGCTGGGTCCATGCTGAACTAGCTCCCCCGCTGCCTTTCCTGCCCTCTCAGAAAAGAGGTAAAACTAGTGTCCCCCTGATCAGTCATGGTCTCTAACAAGCAAATGGCATTTTTGTCACTAATAGGGATGTTCTAGTGGCAAAAGCCCTGTTTAGAGGATTATATTCACTTTACCTAAAATCCCCTTGTAACTCTCAGAATTATTCTTCATTTTGCCTCCTATAAATCATGCTGTGTTCTTTTACTGGTGCAAAATGACTGACATGTTCCATGTTGTAATAAGGGTGTGAGTGCCTGTGAGAAGTTTTGCTTTATTTCCAGGTCCAGGGTAAGGGTTGCAAAGGTAAATAACTATGTTTTGTGTCAGGGTTAATATACAATGGTCCAGCTGCATTTCGTGGTGGATAAGAGTGAAACCTCTGTAGGGAGATTTTAAAAAGCATTTGAATCCCCTGACTTCACGGTTCTGTATAAATATAAAGTATTACTATTGTTTTAAAAGATTTAGCAGTTCAGAGGTTCTTTGTAGTTTTATTTGCCTTACAGCCCTCATCCTCCTGCCTGACCAGCACTAATATGAAACAAAAATGTTCCATTCCCCCCCTCCGCCCCCTTTTGCATTGTTTCCCTTGCTATCTTTTTCTTTTCCTGTCAAATAACTAAGCAGGAGATTTCCTGCTTGATGGTGTGCCAAGCAGAATTCCAGCTCCTTTACTCTGCCCCTTTGAAAAAAAAATCTGACCCCAATTTCCATAACCAAAGAAGAGACAGGTTGCCATTGTTTGTGTTTCAGAGCATGACTGTTTTTCTTAGATTTGCACCCAGTAAAGAGAAATGATGCTGTTATTCAGTATAGAAATTATCCCAGTGACCCCAGCGAAAGCAACAGTAACAGGGACATAGTAAGCTTACTCCTGCACATAGTAAGATTACTCCTGCACACTAGAACCTGTGTCTTTAGCCAATACCTTTCCCCCTTTTCATTTTCTTTCAGGCCTTGTTTAACCCTGGGAATTGCCTCAACAGGCATAAGGTGGCCATCAATTGGGTATCTGCATCAGGGCTGACCCTGCTGCGTGTAGACAAGGACATGCAGAGCTTTGCACTGAATGACCTAATTGAGGTTTACCTCTGCTTCTAATTGGGGTGAACTTTAATTAGCTTAATCAGTGCAAACCTTGACTTGCCCTGGTCCATTATTATCATCATCTGCATTAAAAGTACCTAGAGGCCTCAACCAAGATTAATGGCCCATTATGCAGGCTGCTGTACCAACACAAGGTAAGAAAACAGTCTCTACCAGGAAGAGTTTAAAATCTAAATAGATAGTATAAAAGGTGGGAGGAAAGAAAAATCATATGGCCCATTTAACAGAAGCACAGAGAGATGAAGGGTCAAATATTGAAAGGTATATTTAGGCTCCTAACCATGCTGATAGGCACCTGGGCCCAGATCCTCAAAAACATGTAGTTGCCTAACTCCCATTGAACTCAGTGGAGTTAGATGCCTAAATATCTTTGAGGATCTGGGCCCGAGAGAGATTTCCAAAAGCATTTCAGTGCCCAAATCCCATTGAAATCTGCATCTTTAGGTGCCAAAATAGATTTTAAAATCTGGCCCCCAGGAGACTCTTCCAAAGTCACACAGGAAATCAGTGCTGAGAATGTAACCCAGATCTCCTGAGTTTCAGGCCAATGCCCAGGCCATCCTTCCTCTCCATTCATATATTACAGCTCTGATGCAGTTACATCAATTGCTGGACACCAATGGCTGAGCTGGACTATTGCCAAGTATAAATAAGGCCACAGACTAGAGGTGTACTAGTGTTGAAAACAAGACATCTAAGAAATTATGGAACTGGCAAAGAGAGAAAAGGAGAAAAACAGGAACAACAACTGAAGATATACTTGATGGGTTTTGTGTAATGATGAACTAACCTCAACCGGTAAGAATTTCAGTTTGGTCCAGAAAAGCGTTCTGGAGTGTAACACTGTACTATATCTGATGTGTATTTGAACGTAAGGCTCGCTTTCCTCATCTCTACCCTTCCCAAGGATTGCAAGACCATGATGTAGTTGGAGGGTCTAGTATGTTTCCATGACCTGGAGAGCTAGACTGCTGGTCGCATTGCTACCATAGGATCTCCCAAGGCAGGCAGGTCTATGGACAGGGGTCAGACTAAGGAGCAATCTACTGAGCCTGCAGGTTGGGGGTTGGGCATAATGTTAACTCTTTTATCCCATAAAAAGCACAACTGTTAAGAAACTCTCAAATAAGTCTCGTCTATAAAATGGGGATAACAACTCTTAGTTACCTCACAGGGCTTTTATAAGGCTTACAGGTCCAGTCTTGTAAGTTTACTCATACAAATAATCCTTAATCATTGGAATATTCCCACTGATGTCAAGACACAACTCAAATCAATGACACCTACTTACGTGAGTACGGGTTGCAGGATCAGACCCCCATTCTTTTTAGAAAGTGATTTGAGACACTCAGAAGAAAGGTGCCCAAGAAGTGCATTTATGAGGACGATGATGATGTAACATGTTGCTCAAATATGTCATATTTCCCACTAGATGTTGGTCTATGTAGAGATCAGAGTCTACTGCTGTTACCAGCTCAAGGAGTTACTCCTTTAGCTCAAGAAGCAGAGAACTGTGATTTTTAACTGCTGAAGATCTTGGGTTCTATCCTTGCTGATAGCCCCTGGGTAATAAACTTCTTTGATCTTGAATGTCAGTTGCAAATCTCATAACATCAGTCATAAGCTGAGCTGGAAATATCAGAAGAAGAATTTTTCCCATTGTATGTCAGCTCCCAGCTGAGACAGGAAGTACAAAGAATGTGTTTAAAATAAAAAATTAGTCACGCTTCTTTGTACCACACTAAAAGTTTAGATTCAGTTAGGGCTTTGGGGGATGGTTCAGCTCATATCTTACTTTATTAGAACTGGTTCACCCAGACCCAACTGTACAATAAACTGCAACAACTAGGCAGTATTCATGGAGTTCTATATTGCTGTGCAATGTGCATCAATTGAGGAATGTTAGGATATATGTTGACAGAGAGCAGTGGAGGCAGCTTTAGTTGGATTATATTGACGTACAGCAGCTAATGTTTCTTTAGTTAGGTGGTATGTTGATAAATATCAGTTGAAGTAGCTTTAGTCAGTTTGAATGCTAATGCATAGCAATTGTGGTAGCATCAATTGGGTTGAGTGATGAAATAAATAAATTGTCACTGCTTTAGCTTGGTTAAGAATACTAGCTGCTGTCATCTTAAATTCTTCCACAGTGGTTAAAGTAGACTAAAGCCCTGATTCAGGAATGCACTTAAGCACGTGCTTGAATTGTTTTGATATCAATGGGGCTAAAGTTTGTGCTTAAAGTTAAGCACCCTTCATAGAATCATAGACTATCAGGGTTGGAAGGGACCTCAGGAGGTCATCTAGTCCAACCCCCTGCTCAAAGCAGGACCGATCCCCAATTAAATCATCCCAGCCAGGGCTTTGTCAAGCCGGACCTTAAAAACTTCTAAGGAAGGAGATTCCACCACCTCCCTAGGTAATGCCTTCCAGTGTTTCACCACCCTCCTAGTGAAAAAGTTTTTCCTAATATCCAACCTAAATCTCCCCCACTGCAACTTGAGACCATTACTCCTTGTTCTGTCATCTGCTACCACTGAGAACAGTCTAGAGCCATCCTCTTTGGAACTCCCTTTCAGGTAGTTGAAAGCAGCTATCAAATCCCCCCTCATTCATCTCTTCCGTAGACTAAACATTCTTTCTGAATGCAAACCCAGGGCTGGGAAAATGTTAGGAAAACTCTACATATAACTTATGGATCCGGAGAGCAAAGAAATCTCACATTCACAAACCCTGTGGACAAAGACATAGGCCTTGTATACGCTATGAAATTAGGTCGAATTTATAGAAGTCGGTTTTGTAGAAAGAGTTTCTATACAGTCGATTGTGTGTGTCCCCACACAAATGCTCTAAGTGCATGTAGTTGGCGGAGTGCGTCCACAGTACTGAGGCAACTGTCGACTTTCAGAGCGTTGCACTGTGGGTAGCTATCCCACAGTTCCCGCAGTCTCCGCCGCCCATTTGAATTCTGGGTAGAAATCCCAATGCCTGATGGGACTAAAACATTGTTGCAGTTGGTTCTGGGTACATATTGTCAGGCCCCCCTTCCCTCCCTCCCTCCGTGAAAGCAACGGCAGACAATCGTTTCACGCCTTTTTTCCTGGGTTACCCGTGCAGACACCATACCACGGCAAGCACGGAGCCCGCTCAGCTCACTGTCCCGGTATGTCTCCTGGGTGCTGACAGACGCCGTACTGCATTGCTACACAGCAGCAGCTTTTTGCCTTTTGGCAGCAGACAGTGCAGTATGACTGGTAGCCATCGTCGCTGTACTCCAGGGTGCTCTTTTAACTGACCTTGATGAGATCAGGGCGCCTGGGCAAACATGGCGTGACTCAGCCAACTTTTAAGTTTCATCTCATGGCGATTCAGTCCTACCGGCAGTCCTACTGCACCGTCTTCTAATGAGCAGCCAGGAGACAACGATGACTAGTGGTTGTACTGCACAGTCTGCTGCCAGCAAGATGTATAAAGGTAGATGAAGTGGATCAAAACAAGAAATAGACCAGATTTGTTTTGTATTCATTTTCTCCTCCCTTCCTTCCTCCCTCCGTGAAATCAACAGCCTGCTAAACCCAGTTTTGAGTTCTGTCCTTGAGGGGGCCATTCTGTTTCTCGCAAAGTCACTCCCTTTGTTGATTTTAATTCCCTGTAAGCCAACCCCGTAAGCCATGTTGTCGGTCACCCCTCCCTCCATCAGAGCAATGGCAAACAATCATTTTGTGCCCTTTTCCCTGGATTGCCCGAGCAGGAGTAGACGCCACAGCACAGCAAGCATGGAGCCCGTTCAGCTCACCGCAGCAGTGATGACCACTGTAAACACCTCGCGCATTATCGTGCAGTTTATGCAGAACCAGCACCTGAAAAACCAGGCGAGGAGGCAACGGAAGCGCGGTGATGAGGACATGAACACACTTTTCTCTAAAACCGTGTTCCCCCGCAATTTGGAGATCATGGTGTTAATGGGGCAGGCTCATGCTGTGGAACGCTGATTCTGGGCCCGGGAAACAAGCACAGACTGGTGGGACCAAATAGTGTTGCAGGTTTGGGATGATTCCCAGTGGCTCTGAAACTTTCACATGCGAAAGGGCACTTTTATGGAACTTTGTGACTTGCTTTCCCCTGCCCTGAAGCACAAGAATACCAAGATAAGAGCAGCCCTCACAGTTCACAAGCGAGTGGCAATAGTCCTGTGGAAGCTTGCAACGCCAGACAGCTACTGGTCAGTTGGTAATCAATTTGGAATGGGCAAATCTACTGTGGGGGTTGCTGTGATACAAGTAGCCAATGCAATCATTGAGCTGCTGCTATCAAAGGTAGTGGAAAATGTGGGAAATGTGCAGGTCATACTAGATGGCTTTGCTGCAATGGGATTCCCTAACTATGGTGGGGCTATAGACGGAACACATATCCCTATCTTGGGAACGGACCACCAGGGCAGCCAGTACATAAACCGCAAAGGGTACTTTTCAATGGTGCTGCAAGCGCTGGTGGATCACAAGGGATGTTTCACCAACATCAACGTGGGATGGCCGGGAAAGGTCCATGACGCTCGCGTCTTCAGGAACTCTGGTCTGTTTAAATGGCTGCAGGAAGGGATTTGCTTCCCAGACCAGAAAATAACTGTTGGGGATGTTGAAATGCCTATAGTTACCCTTGGGGACTCAGCCTACCCCTTAATGCCCTGGCTCATGAAGCCATACACAGGCACCCTGGATAGTAGTCAGGAGCTGTTCAACTATAGGCTGAGCAAGTGCAGAATGGTGGTAGAGTGTGCATTTAGACATTTAAAGGGTCGCTGGCGCAGTTTACTGACTCGCTCAGACCTCAGCAAAACCAATATTCCCATTGTTATTGCTGCTTGCTTTGTGCTCCACAGTCTCTGTGAGAGTAAGGGGGAGACATTTATGGCAGGGTGGGAGGTTGATGCAAATTGCCTGGTCGTTGAATACGTGCAGCCAGACACTAGGGCGGTTAGAAGAACACAGCAGGAAGCGATGCGCATCAGAGAAGCTTTGAAAACCAGTTTCATGACTGGCCAGGGTACTGTGTGACACTTCTGTTTGTTTCTTCTTGATGAAAACCTGCCCCCTTGGTTGCCCTTAAATTCCCTGTAAGCCACCCGCCCTCCCCCCTTCAATCACAGCTTGCTTGCAAAGGAAATAAAGTCACTATCGTTTAAAAAACATGTATTGTTTGTTAATTGATTATAAAAATAGGGAGATAACTCACAAGGTAGCCTGGGTGGGGTGTGGGAGGAGGGTAGGAGGGAAGGAAAAGGCTATTTTAAAACTTGTTGAATGACAGTCTTCTGTTGCTTCGGCTGTCCACTGGGATGGAGTGGTTGGGTGTCTGGAGCCTCCCCCACCCCGCATTCTTGGGCGTCTGGGTGAGGAGGCTATGGAACTTGGGGAGGAGGGAGGACGGTTAAACAGGGGCTGCAGCAGCAGTCTGATCCTGCTGCCGTTCATGAACCTCCACTAGAAGCTGGAGCATGTCCGTTTGATCCCACAGTAGCCCCAGCGTTGCCTCTTGCCTCCTCTGATCTTCCTGCCACCACCTCTCCTCACGTTCATCGGCCACTTTCCTGTACTATGCTATTGTGTCCCTCCACATATTCTGCTGAGCTCTGTCAGTGCCGGACGACTGCATGAGCTCAGACAACATTTCATCGTGTGTGCGTTTTTTTCGCCACCTTATCTGAGATAGCCTTTGGGATGGAGGAGGGAGGCTTGAAACATTTGCAGCTCCTGGAGGAAAAAAAGGGAGTGAAGTATTTAGAAAAATACATTTTACAGAACAATGGCTATACTCTTTCACGGTGAACAACACTATTCACATTACATAGCACATGTGATTTTTGTACAAGGTCGCATTTTGCATCTTATATTGAGTGCCTGAGGCTTTGGTGTTAGAGATCACACACGCAGTGCCGGAAATCAGAATTTGGCTTGCCGATGGCCATGGTAAGCCATAGTCTTTCGGCTTCTGCAACCTTCATAACAGCAGCGCCCTCCTTTCCCATACCAAGCAAAGCCCATTGAGTTGGCCATTTTAGTGCTGCGGTTTTCCTGTTAACGTGCAGCAGCAGAAACCAAACTAACCCCCTCCCCCCATCCAATTCTCTGGGATGATCACTTTTCCCCTCTCCCCACCACCTGGCTGGTATCAGAGAAGATTCCTACTAGCCAAACACGAAGAGCTCAGCGCCAATGCCGCCCCCCCCAACACCGCGTGGCTAACTGTGGGGAGGATTTCTTTTCAGCCACAGGCAAACAGCCCAGTAGGAATGGGCATCTCTGAAAGTCCCCTTAATTAAATTCCCCTATTTCAACCAGGTTACCATGAATGATATCACTCTCCTGAGGATAACACAGAGAGATAAAGAACGGATGTTGCTTGAATGCCAGCAAACACCGGGACCATACGCTGCCAGGCTTTGTCATGCAATGATACCAGATTACTTGCTACTAGCATGGCGTGGTAAAGTGTCCTACCATGGAAGATGGAATAAGACTGCTCTCCCCAGAAACCTTCTGCAAAGGCTTTTAGAGTACCTCCAGGAGAGCTTCATGGAGATGTCACTGGAAGATTTCTGCTCCATCCCCAGACACGTTAACAGACTTTTCCAGTAGCTGTACTGGCCACGAATCCATCCCAAGTCCTCAGGGCTACTTAATCATTAAAAAACGCTTGCTTTTATAACATGTATTGTATTTAAAAAGGTACACTCACCAGAGGTCCCTTCTCTGGCTTCATTGGGTTGGGAGGGTATTTCAGTCAGGGTGATAAAAAGATCCTGGCTGTCAGGGAGAACGGTGTGCTGTGTGCTCTCCCCAAGCTCATCTTCCCCATCTGCAAAATCCTCAGGCATGGCGGAGAGTACCCCATCATCGGAGTCCACGGACAGGGGTGGGGTAGTGGTGGTGGCCCCCCTAGAATTGCATACAGCTCAGCGTAGAAGTGGCATGTCTGGGGCTCTGTCCTGGAGCGTCCGTTTGATTCTTTGGTTTTCTGCTACGCTTGTCTGAGGTCCTTAAGTTTCACGTGGCCCTGTATTGCGTCCCTGATGTAGCCTCTGTCCCTCATGGCCTCTGAGATTTTTTGAAATGTTTTGGCATTGCTTCTTTTGGAACGTAGTTCTGATAGCATGGATTCCTCTCCCCATACAGTGATCAGATCCAGTACCTCCCGTTCGGTCCATGCTGGAGCTCTTTTCCAATTCTGGGACTGCATGGTTACATGTGCTGATGAGCTCGCCTGGGCAAACAGGAAATGAGATTCAGAAGTTCCCAGGGCTTTTCCTGTCCACCTGGACAGTGCATGCAAGTTCAGAGTGCTGTCCAGAGCGGTCACAATGGTGCACTGTGAAATAGCTCCCGGAGGCCAATACCTTCGAATTGTATCCACACTAACCCTAATTCAAAATGGCGATGTCAATTTCAGCGCTAATCCCCTTGTTGGGGAGGAGTACAAAAATCGGTTTTAAGAGCCCTTTATGTCGAAAAAATGGCTTTGTTGTGTGGACGGGTGCAGGGTTAATTTGGATTTAATGCTGCTAAATCCGACAAACTCGTAGTGTAGACCAGGCCATAGGGATAAACCTGAATCAGTGACATGAGGAAGAATGAAATGGGGGCAAACAACCAAAATCTGGCAAAACATCTCATTTTCAATAAATTTCATTCAGCTTTGCTGTGACAGTTTTACACAATCAAGAGTGAAAATGTTGACTGCTGAGTTCTCATTAGAGTGGTTTTATTTTTTAACTTCATGGAGTCATACATGGCAGAATGTAAGAACAAAGACAATAGGGCCAGGCCCTCAGCTGAAGTGGAGTAGCATAGTCCCTACTGACTTTAATGGAGATAAACTGAGGATCTGGCCTTATCATTGTTTTTCTTAAGTGGATAGTCATCTTTTGGGTTTGAGCTCATCTGAGGGCTTAGCTCTCACTAGATAACTGGGAACCAGAGATGTGAACCATCTTTGGAGCAATGAAAATATCTTTTTTTATGATAAATTTCAAAAACACCTCAAAGAATCTCTCCCAGGGAGTGGAACTTAGAATCTCCAATTATGGCATTACCACAGCAGTTCCTTCCTAACCCACATCCCAGCTACAAACTTTCATCCTCGAATACCTCATAGGGAGTAAAAAACAAAACAAAAACACCTCTCCAAACATATACATGCTGCTGGGACTGCTCTGACTATTTAACATGACAGACAAAGTTGAAAAGTTAGTTGAGGTCAGGGTCTCAGGACGCAAACTTTGCATGCATTGAGGGAGGTTTGTGAAAACTCTTGGAAGTGCTCCAAATAATTTGAAACTTAAAAGCAGTATAAAATACTTCATCAAACATGTTTTACAGTCTCCACATTACAGCCTATTAAATCTACCCCCAGTGCTAGTTTTGGAGAGATTTTGAGAATCCCTCTGAAGACGTTTTTCCCGGCACCAGACAGAGTCTACAAGGAAACTGTGGCCTGCTGCTGTGCACTTTAGTTTCGGGGGTGGATGACAAGCCTTAGAAGGGGCAGCCTCATGGGAAGTCACACAGAACAAGCAAACGACCACCCCTCAAAAAACTAAACATAAAGTGAGCTATTGTTTGGTGAAGGCGTCACGGAAATGGCTGAGTCTGTCAGTGCTCTCTGATTAAACATATGCCATTTCCACCCTTTGGGTGTTTTCTTGACGTTTCCTTTGCTTTTCCCATAATGCACACGCGTAGGACAAAGAGTGATGGATGCTGGGAAAAGAGATTTTTGGTACAGAACAGGCTGGAAATAAATCTCATGGCTCGATCAGAGATTCTCTTTGGCAGAACCATCTTTGACTTACTAGGGAGCCTGGCAACAGACATATCCACACTCTGTCCTTCACCAACTGTCTTCTAAGTAGACTAAGGCAGACATGTGGGGCCAGACCAGCTGGTTTAAATCAGCACAGCCCCACTGACATTCAACTTTTGCAACTGTTTCTTTAATGCACCAACGTTAAATGGATCAAACCACTGAGGCAATGTTTTTCATTAACGAAGTTAGGCACCCAAATCCTATTGAATTGCCTTAAGAAGAGTTTTTAAAATCCCAGACTGAGTCTCTATCAGACGTTGGTACACTAGAGATAAAATGCACTGTGGTAGGAGATGATCTCAGCATCACTGTGTCCCGCCAGGAAAATAAACATCTCAGTTTGGTCTCAATATTTATTTTCCAACAATGCCTTGACTTTGCCTTTGCATTTATGTATCAGCACGAGACCATTATCCCATGACATTTCTTCCTTTCTACAAGTAAACAGCATGGAGGGAAAGGAAGAGTGGTCAAACCTGCTATACCTAAGATGAAATTGAGCAAAACAAAATGTAAGCTAAATATCAGGGAAGATTTATTATTCTAATTATTATATGTGTTACAGTAGAGCCTTGATCTCCCAACCAAGATCAGCACCCCATAGTGTTAGGCACTATATGTACACATCATATACAGCACCTGCCTTGAATAGCTTTACAATTTAAATAGACAAGAGAGAGACAGTGGAGAAAAGGAATTATGATCCCCATTTTACATATGGAGAACTTAGCCACAAAGGGTGAAATCTTTGCCCCATTGACGTCAGTGGGAATTTTGCCATTGACCTCAATGGGGTTAGGATTTCACCCAAAGTGATTTGCCCAAGATCACATCAGAAGTCTGTGGCAGAGCCAAGGAATGAATTCTGATCTGAGTGAGTCCCATTTCAGTGCCTTCTTAGCCACAAGGCCATTCCTTCCTCTTATAGCTCATAGCAGCGTGGCCTATTAGATTGTGAATAATCATTTTAGGAAAGTGGGAGAGAGAGAGACAAGCAAATAATTTGCAACAAATAATTTATTGGAAAAATATAACCTCTTTTTCTCCCTTTCATCAAATCTACTTGATTTTCAAAATCATTCAACAACTTTTAATTTATATCATTTGTAAACGTCTATTTAAAACTCTTTAAGTATTTAATACTTGTTGGTCAAACTATGTTGCTCACTTGCAGTTGATTAGACAGGGCAACCTTGTTTCTGCTCCCTGATATGCTGAGCGTTCAAGCGCTTCAGGTGTGACTGTTCACGTGAGCAAGTGCAGGCCAATGAAAGTGAAAGCCAGGAGAGTGCAGTGACCCCATT